TTAGGTGTGACATTAAAAGCTGAACACTCTAAAATACTTACATGTCCTAAAGTTTACGCATCCGGTCTAGGGAATTTGTAACAATTTATGACAGTTTAATAGGAACTTGGGAATTTATACAAATTACCCAAACTTCTAATTCCATTTAATGTTTTGATTTAGTATCACAAAGACTTTCATTATTGAACCCAGGAAATAAGGTACATAAATAGCATTTCCAAAACAAATATTCCTTATCCATATAGGTAATAATACAGTTCCTATTTATCTAAAAAATCCAAGTGAAAACAATTCATTTCTAAAATCAATAATTATGCAACATCACTTCATTATCTTAATTGAGTCTCATTGCCAGAAATAAGTAAATACAGACATTTATTTGAGCATCACTTCTGAAAGGAAATTAAGGAAATTTGTCAATTTAGTGTAGTYAGGTTGTCTGATCAAAAATCACTTATATTTTTCTATTGATTTAAATCAGAAATTTGGTATTTTATGCAGATAACAATTTACACAGTCCCTGATTTCATGTGGGAAAAAATAAAACACCATTTTGCTAAAATAATTCATTTTTAATTCTGTAAAAAAAAACTTTTTAATATAAGTTGTGCACACTTTACAAAAAAATTTCATGACAATAAAATGCCAGGGTGAGGGGCACATATCACCTAACCAGAAGAATTAGTATTTCCTCTAAATATTAAAAACTGTGTCATTGACCTCACTTACTATTTATTGGATCCAATTAAATTGGTATTCAACTTTGATAATCAAACAAGGCATGGTATGAAGTGCTTGATGTTTACCCTCAGTATTTATTTAAAATATCTTAGTAAAATTCATAAGATTTTTAGTAAATGCCAAAAATCCTGGCAAAAGTTAAGAATAATTGACCTTTCAATGTCTATAAGAGATTACTAAATTAATGTGTCTTCTACACAAAGAATAATTATATTTTATAAAAAACCTTATTATTATAATAACATGGTGATTGTGTAATAATAGTGCTTGATTGTGCCTTTTTTACCATTAACTCTTTTCTGTTTGCAACCTATGCTTTACTTCTTTTTTTTATATTATGTTAGAAAAAAATAATAAACTAACTCAAGAAGTCTGAATCTACTAGTAAACAACTAGTGGATTATAAAAAGTATTCTTAATCTGCCTGTGTTTATTTTGTTCTTCAGGATATTCACTTAGTGCTTTTTAAATTCTCTTTGCTTCATGTTATGAATTATGTGGGAGAATGCATCATAGATGTGAAAAAATGCTTATATATTTTATTCTTAGCATACATGTCATTTTTATCATCTGTTTGAAATTACATATTCCTAGGGGGAAAGGCACCTATCTTTTAAGCTAGGTTGACTATCACAATGCTCTATATACAAAGGTACTTACTTAGTACATGATTTTTAATGGATTGCTTTTCATTATTGCTATATAGTTTTGATTCATGATGTGTTAGTATATTGGAATTGGGTAGCTTTCTAAAATAATGTTCTAAAATAAAACCTGTCGCTAAACTTTACAAAATCCAAGTGTTCAGTTACAAGGGATCTTTACAGATGGAGAGAAAGAAATAGAGATGTATTTAAAATTCATATTTCAGTAAAAATACTTATTCACYAATGCAGACACAATCCACACAAGTCAAAATCCTTATACCTAAGGGAATATTACATAGTTTACTACCTGATTTAAATAACATTGTAATACTGAAATTGGAATATAGCTTGTACTTGTTGAAACCACCAGGAATTTTGAAGTATCCYTTTTAACCTTAACGTTGCTTAGAAAAATATGTCCTCTACATAACTATATGAACATTTTATGGGATTTGCTCTCAATTATCCAGAAACAAAACAAAACCCAGCAACTCATGATTGCTAATTGCCAAGTACATTTGTTACCTAACATCTMTTTATTTCTCTGAATATTGCAAATTTAACCTTTAATGTCATACATATCTTTAAAACAATCACAAAATCATTAAAATATTCATTAAATTCATTGCATTCAGTATAATAATTTTCATAAAATTATAGTTACATTATTTTCTAATAGTTAATGAATTTWCATAAATTTTCTTCTATTTAAATCACAGATGTGGATGTGTGTGGATGTGATTCTGCAAACTGTATTTGGGGTAAAAATGGGAGTTCATAATCCACTTGAATCTAATGTATGAAATATGATATGTCAAGAGCTTTCTAATGTTTTGAACAACCAATAAAAAAAAAATCACAGATTCCTATGATATCAGTGGGTTGTTTTTCTTTTATTCCTTCCTTTTTTTTTCTTGTGGTACTGGTGATTAAAGTCAGAGGTACTCGACCACTAGGCTACATYGTCAGCACATTTGATTTTGAGGAGAAAGGTCTCAATAAGTTGCCCATGGTGGCCTCCACCTTGTGATTCTCCTGCCTCAGGCTTTAGGATCTATGGGATTGCAGTGGTGTGCCACCATGACCAGATTTTTGTTTCTTGTAATATTCTGCTTTACTATTTCTTTATTCAACTAATTTTTTTATTATTTTGAAATTGTAAATTTTAATTTATCAGATTATGTAAATTAAAATGTACTCCCTTGTCAACATCAAATCATTTCCCAAAACATAGTATCATTTCTCCCCATGAATGATACAAAGCAGCAGCATTCTAGGCAAGATTCTTGTTTACTGATGTGGTCAGGAGTCATTGTTCAAACGTTGCTGGCTATCATGAAATTAACATGTTATCCACATTTGTTATGTTGTTGTTTTTTTTTTTTTTTTACCGTTTCACTACTAATAACTCTGTTTTGAATAAAAATCTTTCACCAAATTTTCATTTAATACTCTTGTTGATGCTGAATAAACTCTATATCATGGAAGTTATTTCCACTTTTTGTTATAGATTTTAACTGGTTTTGTTATTGTTGWTGTTGTAGTTATTTTCAGTTACACATGACAGTAGAGTATATATTGAGATATTTAAACAAACATGAAGTACATCTTATTAGTATCCCAGTCTTGTGGTTGTACATGATATGGAGATTCACTACAGGGTATTTATAATAACTCATGTATTGCCTTGGTGTGGAGTTGGAATAATAGTTGAAAGATAAGATTGCTATTTTAACAAAATATGTCATAAAATAACAAAAATAATTTATCTATTTTAATAGAACTTCAAACTGGGACTGTATTGCACTTGGAGTACTTTTTGTTGTTGTTGTTTGTTTTGTTTTGTTTTTAATGCCCCAGAAATGTCAGGCACCTGACTTTTCATATCTGCTGTTCTTGCTGCCCAATACCATTTACTAATCTTCCAAATTTCACAGCCACTTATCCTGAGGACTAAATCAATTGCTGCCCCCTCCATAATGACATCTTAATTCCCAAAACAAAAGATTATTTTCTCAACTCAATATTTTATGTAGGTCTTTCTATAACATTTAAATCCTTCTATCTTGAGTTATATTATTATATGATATATACTACAACATTTGTATTGTATGTGTAGATATTTTTTTCCTTGATAAACAATAATATTTTCTTTCTGCTCCTTTACCTTCCTGAGCATACAAAATAATTCCAACWATTGTGCAATGATTGTGAAAAACACAGACTTCATTATTAGCTTGACAAAGGTTTGCTTATAAATTTATCGATTTATTTCTTAATCTGTATTTTACTTTCCTTATATAAACATAGGAGGCTCATACTGTTTTATTATTGTTATTTAAAAATATTCTAGTCTTATAAAATCCTATGAAAGGCCCAACAATTTCCTGAGTCACCCTGTCTTATATTCTGTCTTCTAATTTAATGCACACATGCAATTGTATTAAATTCCAAGAGCATGTTGATACCTAGTCTTAAACTTTATAACCATCAACTATTTCTCATATATTATTTTGATTATTATTTTGATTATTATATTGGTATCAATATTCATAAAATATGTTTTAACAGAAACTCAAATAGAAATTCATCATATGATAAGAAATCAATTTATATGAATTTTTAAGTGTAGTATTTTAAATTTTACAATATTAGTCAACTTGATAGGCCAGATGGCAAAGGCAAAATACATATACTACTTCTTCCTGCTTCATGTCTTTTTGGAAAGGTATATATGCACCTATTGTTGATGTGTAAATGTGTGTGTATGTATCTATATCTCTATCTATCTATATATCTCTATCTCTCTCTATCTAGAGATAGAGAGAGAGGTGGGGTGGGGAAAGGGGAAATGGAGAGGGAGATTTCATACTGATATCAGATGCTGCATTGAATTGCTTCCTGTTTAACTGTGCTTCTTTGGTGACTTTCAAATACCAACTAGCTAATTTACTTTTCTTTTTATTTTCTCTAGTATGAAGCTCCTAATTATTTAGTTTATGTTTGTTTGTTTCTTAATCCTTTCTCTTTGAATTATTTTTAAAGACTAACTTGATAAGAAATCCATGTTATCCAACCTATCTTCATAACTCCTTTTCATAAAGAACACTTTAAGACACATTTAAGCAACACAAACATGTAAATCATTCCAAATTTTAATGTAACTATAATATTTTATTCTTATAAAAGAATGAGCAATTCTAAAGAGCAATAGATCTTCAAATGCATACAAACCAAATCTGATAATACATTTTGTTTCTAAATGCAGTTTAAAACCRACACTGTATAAATAAATTGTTTTGACATATGGTGACAATTGGTCAAGTGCTGCTCCTATTCCCAGATAATCTTGAAATCAACATTGTTTACCCAGTGTCTTAAACTGGAATCACTAAGAACTGGTGGTATCCAAGGTTATCAACTATTTCCAACTGTTCATTTTTCAACTACTAAGTCCCTTAGCTTTTATGTCAGTWCAGCCAGAAACTTAAATTCTCTCAATTATATCACTTCTCTTAAGAAACAGCTTGTACTCTAAGATCAGGCTAACATACCATATTGTGTAAAACAACATGAAAAAGAACAAAATAAATTAAAGATTGAATCTGGTACTCACGGAATGCTCTATAAAATTCTTCAAGAGCCAGGTGCTTGTCATCGTTAAAATCATCATACTTCAGTAGATCATACAAAGTACAATCAAAAAGATCCTTGCCAAATTCTTCCTGTTTTATCACCTGACAAACAAAGTACAACCATATTTTCATATCTGTCTGGCATTTCTATAGAATTAATTATATTAATAATCACATCATAGACCACTCTAAATATGTAGTAGGGCAAATTAATCAACCTATGAAAAATCCATTATCAATTACTGAAATTTTATTTTAAACCATTTCAAAGTTTTCAAGTTAAGATGCATACTTAGAATTCTCTGCAAACTTTCTAGTATAAAAGTTTCACAGTAGGACCCAATGAATCAGAACATTTTGTATTTCACTCATTTACTTTGATGCATTTTTACTGACTCAAGGAAATACCAACACACACACAAAAAAAATCACACCCTGTGTCTTGGTGACCTATGTCAAAATAAAACAGTGCTCTTTCTCAACAAAATAGCAAGGCAGTTTGTGCCAACTTTCTTCCTCATATTTTTTGTGAAAACGAAGTTAGATTTTTTTTTCTCTGTATTAAACTCCTCCCCAGCTGGACCTTAAGTCATTTGGGACTATGCATGACTCCCTTGGTCACAAAAGAGCTATTAAGCAAATGACTGTTTCCAGGAGCAAGATAGAATTAATGCACCAATTGATGATGAAAATCTATCCAAGCGTGGGTGAAGAAAATCATCAAACTGCCTTTCTATTCTGTGCTCAGTCCCATGAACTGAGGCTGTAGCTTTTTTATACTCTGCTGATTTTGACTATTGCCTGTCATATAACAGAGCTTCCCCAGACTTTTCAGACATTTCTATTCATTGTGGGTAGCTGCATAGCTGTGTTCATGGTCTTTCTGTCTTTCATATTCTCCCACATAGAGGCAGTAATTCATATTACTTGAAGATGTGCATCACAATGTTTTTGTTTTGTTTTGTTTTGTTTTAAAGGTGGTTCTGTGTAGTCAAAAAAAAGTCTCTGAAGTCAGTCACCTCTGTAATCAGATCATGCCAATGTCACTTAATAGCTCTCTAACTTCTGGCAAATTATTTGACATTTCCTTAATTAGAAAATGAATGTGAAAATGACCCCCCCACCAACACATACACATACACATACACACACACAAAAAAATCAAGTTTAAGACAACATACAGTAGACACTCAAAAGTGATTWTTTGAAATTAAAATGAATGATTCTTTGTAGAATGAGCATCTTGAAATAACTCACTGCAGACTTCCAGACACCACTTTGTGTGTGTTGTGGCTGTGCATCACAATGGGTTATGATTTCCTTGGGTAAAGCATAGCATTTCAGACATTATAATATCAATGGAAAATTACTGATGCCATTTTTCAGAAGAAGCTTTAATGGTTGTGAGACAATTTTTAACCCTTTTTGGAATACTTCCATGTTGAAAATTTGTTTACACAAGTCACATTGAGTGTGCACAAACTGTCAAGGATTCTTTGGGGACGAGGCTCAGCATATGAGTCACTAGAGTCCCTTAAGCAGTGATTAGTACTGATAGCAGATAAACTGCTAAATAGAACCCATACAAATTGAATTCTCTATTCTTGCATATGATATTAAAATTTTATTGATTAGGCTGATACTTTCTACCTTAGAGGGGAAAAATGCAAAAGGTTTTTCAGGTTTAATGCTCCTTGTAAAGAGATACTGTGGATGGTGAGTATTAAACCACATATTTGTACATTGTCCAAYTGGAAGAATTAGCAAAGCTACTAATGACTGAAGCCATCTCTCCAATAAGCCTATTGGGAAAACAAAATCCTGCTTTTCTATTTAGAAAGCAGCAGAGCTTTCAGTCATTCTCCATCTGTTATTGGTTAGATCGCAGAAAATGACTTTTCCTGGGACTGGGAGTGGGGCCATTATATTGGATCTTACCTCACTCTGCTCTTTCTAAAGATCTGCAGTGCTGAAACTGTGGTAATAATTAGATGTAGTGATACCAGAATTTGGTCAGGTATTTTAATATTTTAGTGACCTTTATTTTCATAGTGATTTATAAATGGGGATAAAATAGGGAGTTGGGGAAAAGCTTTTCTCATTTGCTGCTTCATAGTTTTCTCTAATAGCTTATTACTCAAATTAAATTCATGCATTAAACCAAGAGAATAAACCTCTAAACTTTTCCTTGATTGGTGGATCTTGCATTGTCTAACTAGGTCTTATTCTGATCTTGATCTTGATTTGATCATGACTGTACTGCTGTAGTTGGGCATACTATTTTGATGAATGTGTGCTAGAGTTTGGTTCCTGAAAGTACCCCCAAGGCCCATTTTGAAGTTTGGTCTTTAGCTTATGGTGCTATTACAAGGTAGTAGAACATTAGGAGATGGGGCTTTGTAGAAAGAAATCGGGTTATTTGGGGTGTTCCCTTGAAGTGGATAACAGTACCTTAGCCCCTAAATGATTCCCTCTTTTGCTTCCCCACCACCATGATGTGAGCACCAATATCCTATCATGTGTTCTCTGTCTTGTAGTACTCTTCCAACAGCAATGGACCAATGGAACATGGGCTGAAACCTCTGAAACTGTGAGCCAAAATAAACCTTTCATCCTTAGGAGTTGGTTATATCAGGTGTTTGCTAGCATGATCAGAAGATAACTAACACAATGTACCCCTGAGATCATGATCCTGGTCATTAAACTTTGGGAAAACTATAGTGGAGCATGTCCATGCACAGACAGGAGTAATACATTCTCTCATTCATTAATATTTCAAGTGATTATTTTTGTTCATTTATCCCAAACTTGGGGAATGAAACAACTCACTTAAAACATAATTTCTGAAACGATTTTCCTCCTTTGGCTTCTTGATGGGAAGCTTTRGCATAGTCTACCATAATACTAATGAAGGAGATAATTTCCTATGAATTTTCCTTCTTTTTAAATGACTTTATTGAGATATAATTGATACACACAAAATGCTGCACATATTTAATGTATCCAGTTCGATGAGTTTGTGTGACCTTTTAATCAGTATGGAAAAAAAATTGCTTTAATTTGCTGAGTTTTGATAGCTGTAAAGTGTTTGCCTGACTGTTGAGAACAAAGTACGATGGAATATATTAGTATATTTCCTTCTCCAGTATGTAATATAACTCTTTGGCAGAGCGATCCAAATTTGTAGGGCCTTGGTAACTTCCTGCACTTTTTTCATTTATTGTCTGGGCACTGGTTCCAAAAACTTCTCATTTTGAGGATCCTCAAAATGCATGTATTCTTTCCAAAGTAACAATTGATGACAGAACCAGACACACTGAATTTATTGAAATGTAAATAATTTTTAATCATGCCTCAGTCAAGGAGGCCAATCATTATTGCATTTAGTGCACATTGTAAAATAGTGAAGATAATCCCAAACTCCTTCAAGGTAGAAAAAAAATCCATTATTTTCCTGACCTGATGTCAGGTTGCATGATTCTTTGACTCCATGGAGGTTAGGACAAGGTTGAAGCATTAGCAGAATGTTTTGCATCAGGACAGCTCAAACACTCAGCATTTCAGAGAGGGTGCATATTTAATTTCAACATTGCAGAGCTGTCAAAGTTGCATAAGTACTGTCATAACTCAGAGATTACTCAATGCTTAGAGACTCTATTCTTTCCATCCCAAAATAAACAACAAGAGCAAAACCCAACTATCTCTCCCCAAGATAAAGTATTCTCCTTTCCATTCTCCTTCAATCATTTGGTCAACCATCTACATAAGATATCATTTTTTACTCCTTACTACATGTCAGCTGCTGTCCCAGGCTCTGAAAACACAGAAGGCAAGAAGATAGACAAAAAAAAAAAAAAAAAACAGTGTCCAATGGGGAGAGGCAAAGCAGATTGTGGAATAAGACCACCAAGGGAAGTTGCCCCAATTTAAGCAACTATTCATACCAACAACAAAAAAAAAAGAAAGAAAGAAAAGAAATCACTCATAAAAGTTAACACAACCAGATAAGAYAAAATGGCAACTTATTTTGGCATAATCATAAGCAAAGAAACACTCAGAAAGGAAAGACTTAACCACATTAACCTCGCCCAACTCCAAGCAACATGAAATGAAGAAAAATGCCTTTGACATGGGAAAGAGAAAGGGAATAAAGAGCAGGCATTAGACTGAGAACTCAGTACCAAGCTGGCACTGGCAAATCCATACTGCGCAGAGCACCATAGACTCTGACTACAGTTAGCATTGGCAGTCAAGGGACTGATTCTACTATTTCTCTCCTGAGTTTGGATGTCATAGCACAGAGAATAATCCCATGCACTGAAGGATAGGGTAGGTAAGTAAACAGAATTTTTGCCTCAAAACTCCTTTCCATGCCCACACAGTGAACTATAACACCAGGAAGAAATGAAAAACCTCTGTCTACAGGCCAGTTCCTATAGATGAAGCCTTTGGACTAGCCCTGGGGCCAGATGGAGATYTGCACCACAGTGGGGAGGATTCCTATTTCAGCCAAATCAGCTGAGATTTCTACCAGCTGTAGTATAGGCTTTAGGTATGCTTTTAAGACTGTAAAGGACCTCCAACTATAAACTTCACATATAACTATGCCGATCATGAATTTTGGTGGTCAGAAAATTGACTCCACCATAAGACTGATTCCTTCTCTGAACTTGGGAGAACATTTTTGGAGAAACGCACTATCTATTGTGTGTAATAGAGAGGAAAATAAATCTAGAASTTTATCTTGGAACTCAGTGTTCAACATATTAGGAGGAAACCCAACACAGGGCAGAGCTTAATGAATCCAAGCCAGTGCCTGAGAAAAGAGCTTCTAGATTCACCTTGGTGACAGACAGAGACCTGAAACCCTGGTGGTAGAGATGTGTATTCTGGCCTGTGTCATGTCTGATTGACTAAAGGAGTCTCAGACCACAACTATTTATCAACATCTGGAATGTCATGGTAGTGTAGACTTTGGTCCTTCCTTTGTGCTGTGCTGCTCTTAAAGATCAGTGGGATCTGGGCACAACCTAGCATTACAATGACTTCAGTGACCAGGGGATTGCACACTCCATTCTTCTTCCAACTCCTGGATGTACACC